AAAGTAATCATCTTCAGCACACACACACACACACAATTTACTTGAGGTATGATTTAGTTTATCACTCGGCAGAGCTAATCTAAGAGATAGAATAAATAGAATGAAATGTAAACGCACATCAATTGGCAACGTCATGGCACCTTCTGGGTGTACAATAACTATTCATTTCTGCATGTGATAAGCACAAGCACAAGACGCTCACGTGTCTATAAAATGGACTGTCACAGGCAGAAAGTGGAGAGTTAAGAGCGAGCAAGAGGCGAATCAACATGGCAACTACCGGCGGCTACGATTCAGTGACAAAAACCTGGAGCTGTGAGGAGCAGAGACCACAGTTTGGGGAGGACCTGTCCATGGGTGAATTGATATTCCAAGAGATGAAACGTCACCCCAAGGATGTAGCGCAAGTAAATAGATGCATACACCTCCTAAGACAAGATCTAACAACCCTCTGCAGATATCAGACTCGGAGAAAACGATCCTCCTGCGGGAAGAGCTACTAATGAATGCGATGCGCATTGCCAGCTACTTGCGCAACCTTGGACTGGAGCAGAGCGACGTTGTGGGCATCATAGCACGGAACACGACACATATCTCGGCTGTGGCCTATGCCTGCTTCTTCAATGGCATCGCGCCCCACTCCCTGAACATTGCCTATCTGCCGGAAATCATCGAAAAGCTCTACAACATCACCAAGCCACGCATTGTCTTCTGCGACGGCGATGAGTACGAGAAAGTGCGTGAGGCCACGGCCAAGTTGAATGTGAAGATTGTGACAATGCGCAACCATCCGACGAACTCCATCAGCATTCAGGATGTGCTGCAGACACCGGTGGAGAAAGGCTTCCAGCCAGCTCGTCTCAAGTTAGGGAATAGCCAACAAATGTTTATACTTAGCTCATCGGGAACCACGGGCACGCCCAAGGCAATCACAATGTCCAACAGCCGCAAGTTGCTCAATGGCATGAAGTAAGTATTGCCCAAGGAATACCATCCAATGTCAGCTAACAGATTTGCTTATTCCCGCAGCATGCTGACCACTGCCGATGTTCAGTATGCAGCCAGCACCCTGGACTGGGCATCGGGAACAGCAGCTGCCATCAGCGCGGGTGTCTTCAGCACGAAACGCATCATTTCCGAGAGAGCGTTCGATCCTGCCGACACTCTGCGCATCATCGAGGAGTACAAGGTCACCTGGCTGATGCAAGCACCGTCGCATGTGGCGGCGATTGTGGGGTGTCCGGCCATTGAGGTGGCAGATCTGCAGAGCTTGAGGTACTTCCTGTACACGGGTGGCCGCTGCACGCTGGAAACACAGCTGGCACTTCGCCGGCGCCTGGGCAGGGATTGCCTGAACTTTGGCTATGGATTCTCAGAGTTGGGCTGCTTCTGCGCTCTCAATTGGAAGTTCGACGAGAAGCCCACTTCCGTGGGTCGATTGACATCGGGCTTGAAGGTGAAGATTCTCGACGAAAGTGGTGGCCCCGTGGGACCCAATGAGGTGGGTGAGGTTTGCGTTAACACGGGAGACCACTGGCCCGGCTACTACGGCAGCCCGGAGGCGACGAAGCAGGTCTACGACGAAGACAACTGGATGCACAGCGGTGACCTGGGCTATATGGATGATGATGGTTTCTTGTACATTGTGGATCGTAAGAAGGATCTGCTGAAGTACCAGAGCAACAAGTATTACCCCCACGAGCTCGAAGAACTCATCGCCCGAATGCCAGCCGTGGCTGATGTCTGCGCCTTTGGCATCTGGACCGAGGCAAATGGGGACGAAGCTGCTGCCGCTGTTGTCAAGAAGCCGCGTGAGCAATTGACTGAGCAGGATGTGGTGGAGCATGTGGCACGGCATGCGAAGACCGAGTTCCTGAGACTGCATGCCGGCGCGCTGATCGTTGACCAGTTGCAGCGAAGTGCCAATGGTAAAACCAATCGAATGGCCACCAAGCAACACTTTCTACAGGCCAAGGGCCAAGTCTCAGTGCAGAGTTCAGGTTGTGCCGAGTCATGACTGACTTGCATTATTTCTGTTTTACCATAACCCAAAACAAGATAAGTTTGGGAAAAAGATAACAATTATTACTACTTGCTTTAAGTTCTTTTTGTGTTAGTCAGTGTGGATTTATCTCTCACTAGATAACATCAAATTGTACCTTGGCCCAAGCGGAGATGGAATCAGATGCCCTCAATTGGAATTAAACTGGACTAGCAGTGAACCTCTCTAGTGAAGATTGCCCTACATTTGTGGGGAAATCAAGGAAATGGGTCGGAGAAAAGGGAACACACATTAATCTGCATGATGTTACACTTGCAGTCCTTACAGTTGCTCCGTGGCTGTCCCACGTGTTGACCACAGTGGGGTCTGCCTCCTACTCTCATATACCATGGAAGGACACAGCGAACATTCATCCACGAGTTCTCGTATAAGCGGCATTTGTAACTGGTTTGCTTTTGTTCAAATTACAAGTTGCATTTTTGCCCCGCCATTTGGTCTTGCTGCTGACAATGGCAGGACCTGCGACCAGCACACTGCTGCTGTTGCTGTAGCTCTTGTGTCAATATCCTGGCAGCATTGTTATTATTGCAGATGGAACATGCGCCTGCTCGTTAGCTGAAAAATCCTTGTTTTCTCCACCAACTTTGACATTTGATCAACGCCATTAAAGGCAGAAAGAGTCCGCAGAGCGAGTTTAAGTTTTTATCCAGCAATTGGCCTCATTTAATGCCATTCCGTGTGGCAGTTCGCTTTCCATTCGCGAAATCCTGTGAACGGGGGAAAATTCTGTCACTTGGGCACTTTAAATTGACCGCAAATCGTTTGCTAACAACGCGCAAATTAATTAATTTCATTTACACTCAATTAGGTAATGTCGATTTCGCGCTGCACCGACTCTGAATACTCATAAATAAATCCCATGCCCATGTGCAGCGGCGGCAAATGAATCTTTTATTCATATTTGTGCGAGTTCATTCAATTGAAATGCGCTTGTTTTTTGTCATTTATTATTAATAACATGTCTGCATATGTATTAATTATGAGTGGTCCAGCGCTCAATGACTGGATTAACTGGCTATCTGTTTGGCAGCTACTCAAAGACAAAGTGAGAGCCGGAGAACCGCGGTGCTTCTTCCTAAATGCTCTCATCGAGGCACTCGTTCCAGCAGTATTTAACGACATTTTGCGACAGTTTGATTTATGAATACAAACAAATTTCAAACTTCATATTGAGTTTGAATGAAAATGCTTTCCTCTGGTTATTTACACAATGTTTCCCCACACCCAACGCCCAAGTGCATAAATCAAAAGGAAAGCTGCTCGCACCTTTGGATTGTCGCCTGCCCCGAAATTGGATACTTTATGCCATTGCTTTCTGCGCTGCTTTCTGCTTTCTGCTTTCTGCTTTTCGGTAAGTGCAGTTTTTCGGCACTTGCTTGGCGCCCAAAGACCGTACGTAAGTAGATATCAGCATTGGAATAAATTATATTTTCGAGGCAACTCCTTATCGAGTGCAAGCAACCGGAGCAGCGAGTCGCAGGAATATGGAAATGGCGCCAACAGCTGCAGCCGTAAATTCTGCTGCGTGCAGTCGGTACGGGGTGGCAAAAGACTTAGTTTGCCATTGAATCACAGCTAATTGCCAACGCACCCCCGCCGACTCCGCAGCTGAAGGGCTCCCATGAAGCCATCACGAAGGGTGCTGCTGTCCAACAGCGTGATTACGCACAAACCAACACCAACGTGGCATGAAATGATTAATGAGCCATAAAATGTGAACTTGGGTTGGCGCACCAAAGACATTCACAGCTCCTCACAGAACACGCAAGAACCGGAGTGAACAGGAGCTGGGCCCACATTTTAATGGCATTTTTATTGCACGTAAAACACAAATTGGGACAGGATTGGCACAGAAGTGCAGAGCGCTTCGAAACACATGCCAATTGTGTGTGTGTGTGTGTGGTGTGGCAATTACATTTTCTTTTAATGCATCGCATAAAATGCACGAAATGGTTTTTTAAACGTTTGCAACATTTCATTTAGAGCTGATATCCAACGCCTTCCACTTCAGTTGTTATCCAGCCGCAGCAGAGAACGGATCGGCAATATGCTCCCATCTGTTTTCCTCTTATTATCTGGCATAACGCTGGGAAGTAAGTTTTGCTTGAGTCATCTGTGAACTATTTCATTTTCAATTCCTATTTGCAGATGCATTGGGCAGCAAATCATTTGGTTGTGTGAATGCAAACAGTGATCAGGAATCTTACTTTTGGCTTGGAACCAAGCCTGCTCCGGCGTTGCCATCACCTCTCGCAACATACTGGCGCCGGCGCACTGTGTGATCTGGCAGCACGAAAAAGACTACAGCTTCAGGACCAGAGGTGAAACCCATCACATCGGGCGGATTTTCATTCATCCGAGATACACTTTCGACCGCTCTGATAACGATATCGCTGTGCTACAGCTGGGAGACGATTCTGTGTTGTCTTCCTGCCTGCCTCTGGCGGAGGAGGTGCAGGCCGTGGCCCTGACTGCCTCTCGCTTCGATGTGGCGACCACCACACTGGGTCCCAAGGGGAAAAACAGGCTTCGAACGAGTAAAATTACGAGCCAAGCCTACTGCCGGCGGAAATTTGAAGGTCTGAAAGCCCAATGTTGGTGGGTTCGGCATTGCTGGACAGGAGCATGGAGAATGGCACTGAGACATGGCAGCTTTTGGGCATCTCCGCGCATGGCCTGCCCGAGGGCAAACGTCACATGCCGACTCTATTTACACTTGTTTCAGCGCACAGGAAGTGGATCAAGGAGATAATTAATTTATAATCCCGCCAAGTGAAAGGTTACAAGAAAATAAATACAAACGAGATAGCAATATGCAGAATTATGCATAAATACTTATGCAAATCCCTCTGGCTGGATGAATCATAATCAGCAAAGCCTGCAGAGACGACTGCGAATGTGTTGTGCGAATCCATGCAGTCTTTGTTGAGTCGACGAGATGCTGGGACAGAGTTTATATTTATTTGTTTTTGTTCTATTCGTGCTGCGCGAGTTTTCCTTCCAAGGTTCGTGCGGGAGGCGACCTCAATTCAATTCTTTCCTCCTGAGCTCACAGTTTTTGCGGCAGTGTGCGGAGAGCGAGCCTGCGGACGACTGGAGGAGAGGCAGCTCTACAACGACAACGCGTACGCCGAGCAGGATGAGCATCCATGGCTGGGTCGTCTTGTCTACAAGAACCAGAGTGAATCGTTCATTTTTCATTGCGTTGCCGTGCTGCTCAGTGTCCGGCATGTTCTGGCACCCGCCAGCTGTTTCAAAGGCAGCAAAGTCTACGAATACACTCCCCATGCGGTGCTGTTCGACACTTCCTCGGACTGCGCACAGGCCAGCAGCCATGCCAGAATGTTCAAGATTGAAAAGATTATTGTGCATCCCGACTACAAGAACAACACCCTTGGGGATGATCTAGCTGTTGTCAGACTAGATCGCGATGTGCCATTCTCTGCCTTTGTTCAGCCCATTTGCATGCCGCACTCCTGGGACGGACCAGCGACCTTTGTTGCAGCAAATGTGGATCTGATTGGCTATGAGATGGGAAACAATACACGCAGCCGGCGCATCAAGGCTTATGCGCACGTCAGCGATCCGCAGTCTTGTGTGCTTCGATACCCGGAAACCCGGAGTCAGCTGTGCGGCTACATCAAAGGCGCGGAACTGCAGCCAGGATCGCCTCTGATAGGTGTTCGTGTGGAGAAAGGTTTGCCAGAAAATTATTATCTCATTGGCAATTTAGTGGGCGGCTACGATCCATCCCTATCAGCGCCATACTTGTTCATTTTTGTTTCCCCATACAGGAATTGGATTTTGGATAATATTCATGCCAATTGATCGCAATATTTCAATTCAACTAAATTAAATTTTGTTCTCTCCTGGTTCTTGCTTTTGTTGACTAAATTAAACGAGGACAAATCTTTCAGTAGACTGATTTGCTGAAGATATTTAAATCCATAAATAATCCCACAAAACCTTTTTTTTTTGGTATTTAATCGCTAAAACGAAATTGGCTGGTCGCACGACGATGAGTCCGCCTTGAACTGGTACTTCAGTTTATGCTTGAGGGAATATTAGAAAAGAAAAATATATATTTTACTGAAAATTTTGAATTTAAAAAGGAGTTGTTTGACGAACGGAGACCAAAAATATAATGCATAACCTTTTTAAATCATCCCTGAACTGCATTGCGCTGCCACATCGCTGCAAAAAGGTACCATCGGTAACGATAGTAACGATAGCACTATAGTTTTTAAACATCTAGAAGGTCATCTCTACTGTGAGTTCATGGTACGTTTTAGGGTATTGAAAACACAATTTTGGCATACATTATATATATGTATGTAGAAGTTTATATCCGTTTACATCATTCATTCCTAATATACTTAAAAAATATATAGGCATAATGAGCCATAAAATGTGAACTTGGTTTGGCGCACCAAAGACGCTCTCTGAACAGGAGAACACAAATTGATACAGGATGAAGATATGTAAAAAGAAAACAGAAAATATATATGTTTAAGTCTTTAAGTCTCTAAGATACTCTATTTCAAAGGCTGGTATCATGAGCCAAAAATATTTGGTTCGACTTTTTGTTTTCTGAGTATCCAGCAACGTTTACAAAATCCACATATTCTTATCGATATATCGATACGCGAAGTGCGTGTGTGGACTGAGAGAACAGTAGACAGGCAAGAATTATATGCCGACAATTATTTCTTTTGTGAAGGAGGGGAGGTGAAGGAAACAAGTGCGCTCAAAAACGTAAAAGAGAGTAATAGATCGTCGGAGTCAAAAAAAAGGTCTCCCATGACTTTAATGAAAATTAAATCATTTTACTGAAGTAAATAAATAAATAATTTATTATTTGAGCTCTTTTGTCAAAAATAGACGTTTGGCAAACCATTTGTATTATTGCCAAATGCCAAATGCACTCTCAATGCAACTACCAGCTCCTTTTGTTGCTTTTTTATTTCCAGTTTGAATTTCAAACTGCCACTAAAGGACACATGTTTACAAAACACCACGCACAAAAGAAATATATAGCAAATTTATGGCTAGAATTTTTTGAGGTGCTGGATACCAGCCTTTGAGATTCATAGGATCACCCACATATTTTTGTAGCAAATGCCGGGGGTACGCATATCGCAAACGGCAACGGCGGCGTCACACATCTATATATACGGTATTGTTAGTGACGCATCTTCTACTTCTTCAACTATTCGGTATGTTTGTGAGGTATGGTAACACCATATTTTCCCTCCATTTTTCCCCATCAATTTAGGCGTCCGTGCAACTCCGAATGATTAAATTAAACTGATGACAACCGTTCTAGATAACTTCCTACGAGCTGAGAAGATCGGAGAAGGCACATACGGCATTGTGTACAAGGCGCGCAGCAACCTAACTGGACAGGATGTGGCGCTCAAGAAAATCCGCCTGGAAGGGTGTGTAAATCAACAATCAAGTGCAGGAACAGGCATCCAGCGTCCTTTCTAGAGTCCAGGAATTGTGGCAACCAGCAGTTGGCAAACGGGGTGCAGTGCAACTACATTTGCATGTGTGTATGGACAGTGAGCATACTGGCTGCTCACGCCATGTCCTTGACGAATGTCAAACAACTCGCAGGAGCCTGCTGCACAACACCGCCAGGATGATGTGCGTGCTGCGCTGTTATTTCGAAATGCGTAGCACCACATGATTCGGCTGCGTGGTCCAGCCACACCTTCAGCATCAAAGTTGCAAGCGTTCCTCATACATTCCGTGACATTTACTGACTTTTTCCTCCTTTTTGCAGAGAGGCGGAAGGTGTGCCTTCCACGGCCATCCGGGAGATATCCCTGCTGAAGAACCTGAGGCATCAGAATGTGGTGCAGCTGTTTGACGTGGTCATTTCTGGCAACAATCTGTATATGATATTTGAGTACCTCAACATGGATCTGAAGAAGCTAATGGACAAGAAGAAGGATGTCTTCACACCGCAGTTGATTAAAGTACGCCGCTCGGCTGCATTTTGTCACATTTAAGCTAAAGCATTTAGTCTTTTCAGAGCTATATGTACCAGATACTCGACGCACTCTGCTTTTGTCACACCAATCGGATACTGCATCGCGATCTCAAGCCCCAGAATCTACTCGTAGACACGGCGGGCAAAATAAAGGTAAGGCAGCAAGCAAGGTTTACAGTCTGTGAGTTCCGTGCTAATTCATCGCTTTAGTTGGCAGATTTCGGACTGGCACGCGCCTTTAATGTGCCCATGCGACCGTACACCCACGAGGTGGTCACGCTGTGGTACCGCGCACCGGAGATATTGCTGGGCACCAAGTTCTACTCGACTGGAGTGGACATCTGGAGCCTGGGCTGCATCTTCGCCGAGATGGTAGGTCATTCGTATAACTCTATAAATTCAGTAAGTCATCAATATGCTGTCTTAGATTATGCGACGCTCATTGTTTCCCGGAGACAGCGAGATCGACCAGCTGTATCGAATCTTTCGCACTTTGAGCACGCCCGACGAAGCCACATGGCCGGGTGTGACACAGCTGCCGGACTTCAAGCCCAACTTCCCCAAATGGGAGGCCAGCAATGTGCCTGCACCCATCCGCGAGCACGAAGCCAACGATCTTATAATGGTGAGCGACACCCAATCAGCATCCAGCAGCTATCTATAATTTTATTCTTCTCTTCTGCATAGTCGATGCTGGCATATAACCCCAACATACGCATCTCCGCCAAGGATGCGCTACAGCATGCCTACTTGCAGAATGTGGAGCACGTGGAGCATGTTGCGCTGCCGCTGGACCCCAATGCGGGCAGTGCTTCTCGTCTCACGAAGCTCGTCTGAGTGTCGCCCAACCCCGGATCAACCCTAGCTAATTTCTTGTGATCTGTTAGTATAGTAAGTCCAACGACTACCTCACTACCACTTATCCACCTAATATATAACTAGAGAAATGACATTCTGACTGTTGTCTTCCTTACAGCGGTGGCAACTTCATATCATCCATTCCTAACGCACACACAACAAATTCTTTAAATACACGTTCATGCTCATCAAGTACTAACTGAGTTTATTCAAGATACATTTGTATATCGGTTCAGTGCACCAGGCGCGCAGTGAGAAAGTAGCGTTTTCTATGCCTAGGCGTAACCTTGGCACCTGCCTCCGAGACTGTAGTGACGCCACCGTTGCGCTCCGAGTGACGTTGCCGCTGGCGACTGCGCTGATCGTCGCGCATGTACGTGCCCAGAGCATTGCGCGTGCTTTCTGAGAGCGGTGCGGGTTTCGGGGCGTCATTATCGCCTTCGCCAATGCTGTGAGTAGTTGCATCGGCCAGTGGTGTACTATCGCTCGAGCTATCATCATCGACCACTTCTTCGCTTTGATTGGCCGAGTCGCTGGCGTCGACTGTGCTTACAGGGGACTGAACTTCTGGTGATGATAGCGGCAACGGCCGCAGAAGAGTGATCTTTTTGGTGTTGATTTTACCCAAAATCGGCTGCTCCTGTGGCTCTATCTCCGGTGAGGGATCGAAGCCATTGTAGTAGTTTGGCTGAAAATCTTGCGGACTGAATCGCTGCACGCCGTAGTAACTGCCGGAGTTGGTGTCGTAGAAGAACATTGGCTGAGCTGGCGGTGCCGGCAACGGCGGTGCATAATATTCGTACGGATCATCATATTCCTGCGAGTCGTAAGAGGGTCTTCGCTTTAGCTGCTTGCGACGCTTTCGTTTGCGTTTCTTGGAGCTCTGCTGCTCTGGAATCGGTTCCTCTAGCTTTAGCTCTTGGTCCTCATCCACAGCCTGAAGGAACACTGGCGTTGTCTCAATTATATTGGTGCTGCCATCGTTGAAGAAGTTAGCCAACGGATTGGTCAAGTTTCGCAAACTAAACGAGGGCTGAACACTTCGAATGAAACTATTCCATACCCGGACCAGCGGACGCTCAGTGGTCGTCGTTGACCTCGCCTTGCCGTAGCCAGTTAGCTGACGCCTCCTGTAGCCACCGCGGGTACTCGGCAACAAGACATACTGATAGTTACTGGAACAAGAGTACAACATAAGTACATAAGTAAATCTTATATTAAGCTGATATTTCCTACTCTTTTCTGCCTGGATGATGTGCCTGTGACAAGATCTGCTGCAGCTCCAAAGCCGGCGTCCTGGCTGATTCAATCTGTGTGGGATAACTCCATGCTACAAAGAGCAACAAAGCTGTCACCAATGGCCAATGCATGGCTGTTTACTGTTGCTGTAATATCCTTAGGTGAAGGCCAAGCTCTGGCTGCGTCTGTTGCCCTTCCTGGTCTCGAGCACACTGCGACAAATCGAAGACGCAAACCTAGTGGTCATGACCATTGTTTTGTGTTCGAGCGCATCTCATTAGACTATTTGATGGTGGTCCACTGAACTGTTGGCGAAACTCTCAATATTCAATATCCATTTTGGTATGAAAATGGCATTGTTCCAAGCCCCAGAAAGGCGGCTGTGTTGGCGACATTAACATTAGCTAACCCAATTCTGATGGTGTCGAAAAGAGGAACATTCTTACTCCGCGGCTTCGAGGCAGCTGCCAATCTCGCCTTCTCTATACATATGCTAATAGATTTTTATAGATTACACAATTAATATGCCATTCGAGGCATCTTCTGTGATTAAGAAACTCGTTTGCCCTGCCTCGCTCTGATCTGGGAATGTTGTCAGTCGTCGAAGATTTCGAAAATTATGCCAAGTCTTTTCGCGAAATGCTTTCTCCTGATGAATTTCTGTTTATGGGAGCAACTTCTTATCGCGAATATATGATGATCTGTCTAAATATGAGTAGGAGCGTATTTATGGGTGCATTTGAGTTGCCATTCTACTTTATGGCATGCAATTCTGAGTTTTTGCGAACTTAAAATGGTGTTTATCATGTGCTGCCTCCATTAAGGCAAGTTTTATAGCCTCGATATGTAGAACAATTTAGAAATTTCATTTAAATTAAGAAATTTATTCATGAAATAGTCGAAAGGGACCGACAGGTCTTAATGAGAAGTCTCATGACGAAGGGAAGGCTGGCTTGAATATCAGCGGCAAACAAAACAAACCAAAGCGTGCAAAAGCAAAGCAAACACAAATGGAAAATCAAAGTAAATTCCTAACAAGTGTTTTTCTTTGCATTGCAGCAGGAGTAAAAGAGAGAGTGCACGAGAGAGCTGTCGGCCGCGGAGAGGGCTTTCGGCTGGAAAAGCTTTGGCTCTGGCTTTTTGGCCAGGAAACGGTTCAGTCTACTTTGAGATTCTTGGCCAGCAACAACGCGACATACGACAGTGAAAGCGGCGCGTGCTCCAAAAAAGAAAAGAGGAAGGCTGGGAAAACGCCAGCAGCAAGGAGCTGTGGCTGTGGCTGTGTCTGTGTCTGTGGCTGTAACAGTTTCCACCAAAGTCTAGGAAAACAAGCCCAGGAGGAGGCGCATTTAAGTGGCAGTTGCTTTTTTGGGCTAAGCTAAGCAAGCGATTCCGTGTGATTTCTATTCATGTATTTGTATGTACGTGTCTCTTGCCTGTGTGCGTGCGCGACTGCCAGTGTGTGTGTGTGTGTTTGTGTGCCTTTTGTGTATCCGTGGAGCATTCTGTTTTTGTGCTGCTGCTCCAAATTTATACAGAGCATATTTTGTGTCCATTTAATTGAATTAAGTAAAGGGCTCCGCCACCGAGCCGAGTGTCGCCATTCCGTTCCATCTTTACATAAGAGCAAGCGTGAGGATACAGATACAGAGAAAGACAGAGCAGAGCAGAGAATGTCAAGAATTGCGTAAAGTTTGTGTGGCTCGTGTGTGCCGTGGCCCGTGTGTGCCGTGGGAAAATGACATTAAGTGCTTAAGTAAATTATATAAAATCATTAAACGCCCCGCCAACGAGCATCCATAACACGGCAAATGTGAAACGACAGCTGCAGCCTAGCCTGGAAACACACACAGTTTCCATCGCTACAAGATAAACCGATTCGCCCAAGCAATTTTCCTTGCCTTTTGGCCAAATGAAAAATTCAAAGCCGTCACAACGAGCCTGTAGCTGGGTGGTGGGGGAGGGCGAACTAGATTTTCGACCTGGGCGGGCTACTGTCAAGGTGTGCGCTACCTCAAGGCCTAGTAGCTAACCCTAAACTCGGCAACCACAGGCACGCACACATCCACACACCTACACACGTGTCCACACACACACGCAGGCAGAGCCATACACTCTCCCAATGGAAACATCTTGGCGGGCGTTTTGTTTTCCATTTTCAAGTGCGCTTATTGGAGGGTGCCGCAGAGCGAAGGAGAGCACCCGCACCCGCACCCGCAACCCGCAACCGCAACCGACCCACCAGGTGTCTGACGGAAACAGTTTTTGGCGTCACTTTCGTTTTCGTTGTTGTGCCCTCGCTCAAGTGCTGTGCTTGACCATAACCACTAAAAGTGTCACAATGCGTACACACCGCGTGTTGTCCTCGAGCGCGCGCTGTGTATTTGTTTTTGTGTGGCGGCCGTGTCCCACGAGCTTACGCTCGTAAGCTCGTTTACTTTGGAGCGACGCCGCCACCCACGCCTGCACGGAGAGCCAGTCAGTCTCTTGCTCCTCCTCTCTTCGCGATTCCATGCTCTCTCTTGCTGCGGCACATTCTCTCTGCTAATCAGCTGTTTGTGTTGTTTTGAATCGCATTCCTCCATTCCGTTATTCCTCCATCCGCAAACAACAAAGGAAAAAGTACCGTATATCCGTGGCTGCCTGTCTGTCTCTCTGTCGGTCATCTGGTCACGTTTTACCCATTCCCCCCAGTCCTATGCTTGGCAATTTAAATTTTATTGTGACTTTTTATTCTTTATGCGAGCGTCTTCGCTCGCTCTCTCTCTCTCTCTCTCTCTCTCTCTCTCTGCTGCCTATAGAGCAATTTAGCGACCAAAAGTATGCTCCGACAAGCCATCAAAATGATGGCTCTACATTAGCCTGACAAGTCTTTGGGGATGGCCAAATGAATGGTATTGGGTGGTACACTAGTGGCCTGGCCTGGGAAAATGACATCGAAGCCACCTGTCGAGTGGCTAAATATTTAATACGTACCTCAGATTTATGGAACGCCAGTGCTTTGTGTACCCCAAAAGACCCCAAAAGTTTACCCGAACAACAGTGCATGGCTTAGTCCAGCAGCAGCCGGAATACTTGTTTCTTCCTTTGGCCAATGTCTTGGCATGCGGCCAAGTTCCCCTTTTGGTTTTCCGTTTCCGTTTTTCATGGAAATTGCAAAACTTTTGGCTGTCTGTCTGAATGGCTGGCTGCCTGGCTGCCTGGCTGGCAGGAGCAGCATTGTCACAGTGATTCGGGGTCCGCTCGGAAAAGCGATGAAATTTCCATATTTCTCGCATTAGCCAACAGTTACACTGGCGGTGGCGGTGCCAGGGGCTTTGCTGAGTGACTGCTCATTAAAATGCTATAAGTGTACGAACAATTTGCATGTTGCACGAGCAGCGGGTGGTGCCGCCGCGCTTCGAGCTGAATAATTAACACGCCAGCCAATACCATACCTGTGGCTTCTGCCGTTTATTGGGTGCTCAGGAGCGTACAATTAGCGAATTGGCATTTTGGTAGATAAAATCAAGGTAGTGCCGTATGGCCAGGAAGCTGGAGAGGATGCGATTGTTCTCCCAGCGCCAGTCGATCATCAGACCCACCAGATAGAAGTTCTGTGTGTTGTCGCCCTTCACCTGCATCCCCACCAGCGGTGCTCCGATGTAGTAGCCATCGGGCTTGGCCTGGTAGCCGCAGACTGTGGTGCTGCTGGTGACAATGGAGCTGACCTTGGACTGGCAGAAGCCACGACTCAGGGTGTTCACCCAGGTCTTCATCTTGAGAGCCTCCTTGACGCGCAGGCCGGCCACAATGAATGTCTGGCCCACAAGTGTCCCATTGACCAGCTGGGGTGGCGGCATGCAGGCGGGCATCACGTTCGGGTTCAGCTTGGCATCCCGCTGCAGGGTGAGCACGGCCAGGCTGTTCTTCAGCGTCAACGGATCGTACTCGGGATGAATGGCGATCTCGGCCAGCTTTATCTCCTGAGCGGGCACCACACAGAATCCATCCCTGTCGCAAGTCGGCTGGCTGATAACCGAGCTCTTGTTCCACACTCCCAGGTGCACGGAGAACGCCTCCGCCTCGCCATTGTACTGCACGAAGCAATGGGCGGGGGCCAGCACATTCCTCTTGGAAATCAATACGCCGAGGCAGCCATCGTTCTGGATCTTTCCCTCGAAGCCTGAAGGTCACATTTGTATCTAGGGTAACTCATTCCTTTCTGCTCCGACTGAAACTCACCTTTGCCGAAGACGATGCGTGCCAGCCACTGGTGCTCCGTGGGTGTGGCAAAGGATCCCTGCTTGAGAAACTGATCCTCATTGAAGTAGCCGCACTCGGTGTCCTCCAATTTGGCAGAGAGGGCGCCAGTCCCAGAAGCCAGCAGCAGCGTGATCAGCGCGATTCCCCAATGCATTGCAGAGCGAGACTCAAAGTCAACTGAAATCCGAGATCTAACGTTGAGCTCTCTTGTTGATGCAATCTTAGTGGGTTTCCCCAGAAGTCTACTGGCTATCAAATCAACAATTCGTTCCACCTGTGGTGGGCTCTGTTCAATGCAATTGACTAATGATAATGAATGTTCTCCGAGATGATTGCATTAGAAACCTGTTCCCAGATACGAGTCTCTGGGCAGTTCCCAGCACGATGCATTGCATTGTTTCCGCATCGTATGAGTTCCATGATTATTTATTGAAAAAACATATGGGAAATACGCAAAAACAAGTTCTATAAACTCCGAACTACTTTGTAGCTGTATTCTCCATTATCCACGGACGAGCACGCCTCAAATCCTGATAGATATGTGTGGTGGATGCACCCACGCTCATGACCCTGGCCAGCAGAGCAACCAAATAGAAACTGTGAGGCACATTTCGCTCCACGCTGATGTCCATCAGGGCCGTGCCCTCGTAGAACTTTGTGCGCTTGACGGGAAAGCCGCAGAGCTGGTTCTCGGGGGGCAGGGTCGACGCGGAGGTCAGTTGCTTGCACTTCTGACGGGACACCGTCATGGCCAGACCCTTGCCCTTGACGTTGTCCGTGTGGGTGAAGCCCGTGAAGTGCAGGTTGCGATTGATCAGCGACTCTGGCTCCGCGTTGCCCTCCATGCAAATGGGTTGAATGTAGTTGGTCCACTCTAGAGGCTCCACGAGGCGCAGGATGGCCATGTCATTGTCGCCCGTGTCCTTATCCGCATCCGGATGCACCTTGATCTCCGCCACATTGTACAGCTTGGGCCCCGGCACGCAGAAGCCCTTGTTGTTGCAGGCGAACTCCTCGTCCGGTGAGTGGCTCTCATCCCACACGCCCACCATCACGACGGCGCTCACATTGCCCGTGCGGTTCTTGAAACGCTTCACACAAGTGGCGGTGGTGAGGACATGCAGCTGGTTCACTATGACCACGGTGCATCTTGTGTTTGTGTAGCCATTGCCTGAGGTAGAACAGGAGTTAGTGTCGAGATCAGAGCTCAGAGCGTGAGTGTTGCACTTACCCGTACTCTGCAGCAGAACTCCTATCCAGGGATACTCCGAGGGCTCTGTTCTTTCGTCTGTTGTGTAGAGCAATCGCTCCTCCAGGCGTCCACACTGGGACTCTGCTCCTACTGTCAGAGCTACGGGGAACAATTAGAAATTACCGTAAACTACAGAGAATATAGATTTGTGTTTGCACTCACCAGCCAGCCAAGCTACAACTAAAAGTTGAACAAGTTTTCCAGCTATAAACATTTTGATCTCCGCTTGTCTCTCTCGTCTGTCCAAGTGCTGGGATCCAACTGAGCAAACCGCATCGCCAACTACTCAGCTTTAGCTCAAGTTTACTGAGTATAAAACGCTCCATGAATCACGCGAAATCTCTCGATAAGATTGAATGTAATTGACTGCCTGTCAGTAGATAATTCTCTAAATGTAATTCTGTAATAAGAAAGATTCATCCAAGAAGCTTGCAAGAACTAATGCAGGAACTGCTCAACTTTTGCTCCCAGTGTACGCTAAAGACAAGACCAGTCAATTACCAGAGAAAAGGACACTCATTATATACCGATTAGATTGTTACAATCCTTCGACCCGCTGTCTCACCAGCACCATTGGGTGCTCCCTCGCTCTCTCGGATATGCATGTGCACAGGCCCGCCCACGCCTACGTCTGGCTCTGAATAATTAATGTTTCAATTAGAATGCTATTATCGAGGGCAAACACAAGCTGCTCAGCAGCCACTGAAGGTGAAGGACACCGAAGGACACTGTAGTGGATCGCAGCAGCGGGGGGGCCTCGACTGGATTTAACACTCGGCACTAAATATGCTTACAAATTGCCCCGGCCAGATCCGGCTGGCAGTTTATTGTCCACTCCGACAGCGCGCTTGCAGCTTGACCTGCTTGAGCCAAGGCGGGGAGGGGCGGGACGGGGCGTGGGGTTCATAACTCGCATTGTTATGAATCCCCCACAACCCCAAATATATCATGCCCACTCCCCCCTGCCCCTTTGTGGCCTAGTGTGTACCGAAGCGGACTTTAATGAACAAGCCGCTCGTTGGTCATTCAGCACTAAAACTTGGCTTTGGCTCTCCCTCTGGCCTTGGTTTTTGCCTAGGCCAGCGAGTACCCCGGAGGGAGCTCCACGAACACAAAGAGAGAGAGAGAGGGGGGGGGGGGGGGGTTTGGGTATGCAAATTGCTTGGACCTGCGTGGGCTTTGGGTGCGCCTTTTGCTTGTAAAAAGGGTCGAGAAATGAGCTGCCTGCTCCTTCGGACACTTGCGTGTCCCTCAATCTTTAATCGCTGCCGGCACGCTAGCTAATGGCGGTGGCTGGAATCGAACTGAATCATTGATTGCGAAACTTCAATTTAAGACTGGGAATTTCTCCATCTTTAAGCTGGCTCGGACCACTGTGAACACAACCATGAGCGAGGTCTGGCAATGATGATAGGATGACGCGTGACGGCGAAATTCCAGCAATTTTCAATCCGAAACGGGTCCGCACACCTGCCGTCGTAGTCACCGGAGACTCATCGACAAATGTTCCCTACAGCAGCAGCAGCAACAATAACAACAACAACAACAACAACAGTGGGACTGGGACTGGGACGGGGACAGGGCCGGGAGCCAGCAGCAGCTCGGCAGGAACAGCAGCAGCAGCAGCAGCAGGGGGAGGAGCTGGAGCTGGAGCGGGCACAGGAGGAGCGACAGGCGGCTGCGGCTTTAGCAATGTCCTCACATCGAGCAATCCGCAAATAACCCACCAAGACTCGATCTCATCGAGCCAGCAGGATCCCAATGAGGTAATCATTATACCAGCGGACACCCCCACGGGGGGTTCCGGCGGCCACAATGCACAACAGCACTTCGGCGGCGACTCGAGTGACACGCAAACCGGACTCGACTCTCAGCAGCAGCAGCCGAATGGCCACGGGGAGGAGCCGGAGTTGCGCTTCAGAAAACTGCAAGCCTGCAAGCAGTCCTGCTGCTCGGAGCTGGCCCGCAAGGTGAGTCCACCACACCCCACAACTACCATTTCCACTTGCCACAGCACCTCTCTCCCCTTGCTTCTTGCAGATGTACTTTGGGGTGTGCGTGACCATCCTGATGACTGCCTCGTGGGTGGGCGCCACGCACTGCATCAAGTACATGTACAAGTACCGGGCGCCCTACGACGACGTGCTGAACGATGACCAGGACACGTCGTCGAGCCGGGCCGAGCTGAGCGCCGAGCTGGAGGAAATCATGGCCATCAGCGACTCGTCGCTGCATCACGTCGAGGACGCCACCGAGATGTTCAATATACCACCGCGGCAGCCTGTCTACTTCAGTGCGCCGTTTTTTGCAGCCTGGTTCTTTACCAACTTCTCGCTGCTCTTCTTCCCCATCTACATCCTGGGCCTCGTGTCCACGCGCAAGTGCGACAAGCTGAGCGAGGTCCTGGGCGATGTGCTGAGAGGATTCCGGGAGCGCGGCTTCACCGTCGGTGAGTTTGTCTCTCTCTGGGGGCACCAGCTCAGCTTTGCAGCTAACTTGATGTTCCCACAGGTCGCTTCCTGAATCGCTGCCTCTCCTTTTGCATTTTGTGGCTGGTCACCACCTATCTGTACACGCTCTCCCTGAACGTGCTCTATGCCACGGATGCCCTGGCCCTGTTTGCCACCAATGTGGCCTGCGTCTATCTGCTCTCTTGGGTGATCCTGCACGAGCAGTTCGTGGGCGTTCGAGTGAGTAGTTCCCAAGTCCATGGTACGCTCAATAATTATCCAATCGTTCCACCCAGATTGTTGCCATCATTCTCTGCGATACGGGCATCGCACTGCTCGCCTACATGGACGGCATCACGGAGAGTCGTACGCTGAGCGGCGTTGTTCTGGCCACACTTGCCGGCGCTGGCTATGCCGTGTTCCGGGTAAGTCACACTCCGATTGTGTGTCGTGCCTTGGGCTCATGTCGCCCTGTCGCCTGTCGCCTGTCGGCTGTCGCTTTTGTAGGTTATGTTCCGCAAGGTGATGGGCGATCCGCCTGTGGGCCAAATCGCGTTCATTTTCACCGCCCTGGGCTTCCTGAATGCCCTGCTGCTGTGGCCAGTGGTGCTGGCGCTCTACCTGACTGGCACGGAGAGCCTGACATCGGAGAGCATACCCTGGAACCTCCTGTTCGCGGCAAGCCTCCTGCTCTTGGGTATGCCAACCTGCCCCTGCCCCTGCCCTTTTTGAAACTTTTATCGTTGTAATTAATTCCGCTTGCAGTTTTCCACGTTCTGATGCAGTTCAGCGCCGCCGTAACGTACAACATGTTTGTGACATTGGGTCTGATTACGGCTGTGCCCGTTTCTGGTGGTATGTACCATGAATGGGTCTTGGGTCTTGGGTCTTGGGTCTTGGGTTTGCTGAAGGAGATTCCGTGACTACAAATTGTTATAAAAAAAAACGCTAGCGGTGGGCACACGACATTGTTTGATCTGACCGACTGTAGCTAAATAAGATCTCAAGTGGGGAGTTGAAACCACTTTGACCCGCCGAACTTATTGAACTTCCCACCCATCATAGCCCTCGATGTCATACTGTACAGTGCTAATTTTGCGGGCATGAAGCTGGCCGGGGTCATACTCATTGGCATTGGGTTCTTCCTCGTAATGTTCCCCGAGAACTGGCCCGACTACATAACGCGACTGCTGCGGTAAGTGGAGAATGTGAATTCACTAATGAATCATAATATTGCTACAAATTACAATTGTTATGCAATTAATACGCTAATTTTCTTTGTCAGAGTACAGAATCGTGCGTGTTTCGTTCAAATATATATTTTACAATTTATTTGTTCAGTGTTTATTTCCTTTGGCTTCATTTCCCTACGTTGTTGCTTTCAATTTAGTGTTCTTTTGTCTTTGTTTATTGCTAAAAGAGTTCGTAACACTAACGACTAAAGCCAATGTATTAAATATCAAAGAATTAAATCATCAACGCATTAATTGAAATTATGATTTGTGTTCAAAACAAAAACAAAAACAAAAACCATGTTGACTTACCAGTGTACTCACATAAACTCTATATATTTAATTTTATATAAACAAACATCTTGCAGAAAGAGCGTTCGAGCCATACTCCGCTACCAATGTTGTTGTGAATTAGCCGAAATTCGCTATGCTCATTCGGTAGGCCAAAAACACAAGCTAAGCCAAACCCCCCAAGCACCCAAAACACCCACACCGAAAACCAAACCAAACCAAACAATTAGTTATATAAAGTAAAACTAGAACCGTAGGCAATCCTAAGATCTGTTTTTTTTTCTTTCTTTGTACCATTAAAGAACCTTCCATCGCTAGTGATATTGTTAAGTGACAGATACTTGGCAGATTTTTTACTGAATACCACTTCTATGCTATAGCTACATGTAATGGGTACAAGTTATAATAATCCTCACATACATGACAAACAATACAAAAAAACCAACACTTTGGCTTCCAACTTTTGCGCTCACCCTTGTTGAATTGAAAGATATGTTTCCTAGCCATGTAACTCTATTTATATGTACACACAACGAACTTACATACATATACATATACATATATTATATGCCTTGTAATACATACTATACATACCAAGTACATACATGTATCATGTATGTATCTATCTGCATATATCGTTATCGTTATAATCCGTTAAACCGACACTTCTTCGGCTGTTGTGCAATTGGTTGACAATCCCGTCTCATTGTTGTTCTAAACGTTACTTTGGCGGTGTTGTTACTCTTTATACACCACCATACCATACCTACATACATATATATTTACTGTCGTTGATCTATTTGATAGTTGAATTTGAAGCTTCCCCATACATGCCATCCCTCAGTTGACCAGAGACCAAACCATTCTTTTGTTTTGTTTCTTTGTGTAAAATATCTTTCTGGTGGTTGGTTGCTGATGCTGAGGATCGGTTATTCCACATCGTAGTAGTTCGTACACCCAAACACAGTCTAACACACCGCTCCAACACACCCACACACACACACACACACACACAACTCTCTACGTAGAAACTTTCCAGAGGAATTGGCTGCTGCTGCTGCTGCTGCCGCTGTTGGTGGTGATGTTTGGCTGATTGTTGTGTGATCTAATCTGAAACGCTTATTTTTGACTTGGCCCAATTTACATATTTACATACTATTTATGTATTTATGTATCTGTAAATACATTCCGATTATTGTTTCGTTCTTTTGTTACTGAAACTGTCTGCACCTTTTAGTGAGGCGAGCGCAAGTAACTATAGATGTTATCCAGATGTTACCAGCATGAACGAATGTACTCGAGCTGTACTCCCCTTATCGTTTCTCGTTAGACCAATTCGAGTGCAAGTTTTCCAATTTCCCTTTGCCCTGTCGTCCCTCAGGTGCCTCCAACTGCAAGAAGGAAACAAACAAAAACCCCTTAAAAAACGAAGTAAATCCTAAATACAGATATACATAAAAATGCATTCGAAAATGTTACTGATTGGCATGTTTAAATTATGAAACCCAGCTTCGTTTTCTCATCGTTTCGTATCGGATTGGAGGCTTTTTCGTTTATTCCAAATTCAACTTCTCTTGAGTTTCTCTTTTCATTTTTCTGTGTGTTCTGTCTGTCTACAAGCCGAACGAATTCTACTCTATGCTACTACTATAACTCTACCTACCTATGTACCTGTCTACTTCTTATATATATATAAACAAACGTGTCGATATTTCAATTGTATTTTTGCAGAAGCATCATAATGCTGGGTCACAACGCGAGGTGAGTTTCGTGAGTAGGCTGAGAGGAGAAATGAGTTTGTTTTCTTTTTTTTGTTTCTTTTGTTCTTTTTGTTCTACAACAACACGGTGGCCAAATCGAATAGGAAATAGAACATACATAATAGCCCAATAAAAACCCGAACTAATACTAAATAATACTTGTACAACATTTATCCAAAATCCAACCGTAAGCGAAGTTTGTTTTCAATTCGATTTCGATTTCGTTTCGTATCCCATAGTCAACTAATCCTTGCCTAGAACTTTTGGTATTTCGGGTTTCATTTGGCTTGTGGGGAGGGTTGGTTTATCGATTCTTCTTACTCCTTACTTAACTCTCTTACTCTCGCATCCCAGTATGATTTCAATATCCTCTCCATAAGCTACAACATATTCCATATTCAGAGTAAAGTAAAAAGTTATCAAATACAGTAGAGCCAGTCCCAGCTGATTTCAATTTGCCAATTCCTTCAAAACTGTTTTGATTCGTACCAAGGTAAGTCGAGGCCTGACCCTCTGCCAGCAACTATTTTGAAGCAACTTCACCCTCACCTCATCCAACGTTTGCCATTCCCGAGCTGTAAATGACAGACACACTCGCTCGCTCGCAAATTCTCACACACCGAAGTACTGTACGTAGCTCTTTTGATCGGTTTCTTGTCTGTTGTTTAATTATTTTGGAGACTGAAATCAACCGAGACTCCTGTACCAGCAGCTCTCTAGTAGAATGACATTTTCTGATTTCTAATTTCTGATTTGTATATAGTAAACACCGCTAATCTGTGCTATTGCTTCTTTTTTCTTCTTGTTTTTCTACTTCACCTATGCCACAAACCTGCCTATCTCTCTCTCTCTCTCTATTTCTCTCTCCCTTTCTCTCTCTCTCTCTCTCTTTGATTACTCGACTATTCTATTCTCTTCGAACTGTTCTCTCTCTCTCTCTCTCCCCTAACTCTTCAAACACTGAACACCTCAACATGTAAACGAATCCGACCCGGCTATAAAAATCGATCAATTGTCATTGCAAAAATTGTACATTGTACACTGCCAACAAAAAAACACACACATGAATACACATTCATGAATACACTCGAACAACACATGTAGCGGTAGGCCAGCGCTTTGTAAACGAGATGCTATAGTCCCCGGACCGTCCACGAGATATGCGCAGCGGCACATCACGCGCACGCACCACATAAGCTAAGAGTCGGACAAGTCACAGAAAATGTACAGAGCAAAAAGACCGCAACCAGAACATATATAAATCTATCCATCTATATTTTGTAAAAAGATTTTCAAACCAAACAAAAACAAAAGCCAAAGAAAGTCCTGTACTCGAATGCACCACTTGCCAGCCCTTGGGGTAAGTACCAACACAATCTTCATTTCTCTTGTATGAAAGTTACGACAAGTGCAAGGTACAGTTGCCCACGCGTAGAGTTAGTCGCCGACTGGGCGGGGCCGGGGCCGGGGCCGGGGGGATCGATGGATCATCGTGAATGCATTGTTTTCTGTTTTCGTTGTACTGTTATGTTTTTGTGCCTTTTGCTGTAATTTTTCCTTTAATATCCTCTTCAAATTATGCGTTCTCTTTCTCTCTCTCTCCTCTCTCTTTTTCTATGGTCTCCACAGATCGCAGCATATTTATGCATCCCATTATAAACACAAGCGAAAGTATTATGCGGTCAACACAAACCCCTATGTGGTTTGAGCCAATCGCATGAATGAATCGCAGATCTCGAGGCGGTCGATCGTGGTGGCCACTGGGCCGTGGGCATTTTTGCTTAGACCCCACGGCCACTGCCACGCATCGCGCCAACAATCTTTTTTGATAACCGTTGTCTGACTGTTGAGAACAATTTTTGTACCAATTACCATTTAGTAGAGTAAAATAGTTTCCCCATAGAGGAAGCTCACATGAAACGAACAACGGTGAGAGCTCCAGATATGCTTTTTTTACATCATTTTTTTCTATTATGAACTTCTCAAACTTTGTAGCCCACTCGATTGTCCTCACTCATGCACAGTCCACCAAGTCACCTCTCGTCACTACATAAAATATTGAATTATTTGTGGTAAACATTTGTTCACTTCTCAGTTATATTCTTATATTGCTTTGTGAGTGTTTGCCTTTGCACTTTGCCTATGTTGTTGTTGGACAGTGTATCTAAATAAATCTTGTATGTGGAAGAGCACAAAAAAGTATATTTGTGGCACTCGTAAATCGAACCACCCCGCTTAAACCCACACAGACATACACTCCACACACACGTACACCTACACCTACACCTACACCAAGACACAATATACAGGAATTTGTGTAAATAACTTCAACCAAAACATCAGTAAAAAATCAGTAAAAAGTCTTAGATCTCTTAGGCCATTGTGCGAGAGTGTCAGTGCACTGCAGACAGCCGCCTCGTGGCTATTCTCTGATCTGCAGTGCACACACGATGCTCAATTCGAAATTAAATAGTCTTGCAAATGATTAATTCATGTAAATGTGAGTGTATGTAGCGCATTAGAGTTGAACACGAAAAGAAATGCCTAGAAACTAAATCAAACTAATGCCATACAAAAGAACTTGCCTCCAAAGAACTCCATAAACCGAGCCAATACTAACATGTACAATTCTTTCTAAAAAAACAAACAAAAAACACCAACAACATGATTGTTTAGATGGGGTCGCGGCCCTCGGAGCGGTACTTCAATAGGTCAGCATCCCACCATTATCGACTATCGGACGGGATACATAAGGTCCCATCTTCGTTCACCCTCTGGCCGTGTGAGATGACTGATCTATCGCCAACAACCAGTGGATTTCTGCATGGCAGCGCCAACGCACAGCATCACCAGCAACTTTTACAGCAGCAGCAGCAACAACAGTCCCATCAGCAGCACCACCGACAGCACCACCATCAGCACCTGCAGCGCCAACACTCGCACACCTCGCTCACCAAGATCCACCGCCAGAGCAGCAGTCACAGTGTCCATGGCGCTGGTCGGTCGGTGGCTGCCGGCGGGACCACGGGTCGACTATTCTCCTACTTTGGCAACGAGCACGAGCATGAGCGAAAGAAGTCCGAGACGTCTTTCTTCAACCTGGGCTTCCGTCGAAAGTCCACGGTGGTCTACTATGCCCCAACCGATTAGGGAGACTCTCAGCTCATGCATATCAAGCAGGAAGCACACGACTAGAAAATACAATCATTCAGTGTTTAAGGATTTAATAGATGTTTGCACCTTTAGGAGATACAACTATGTCGATGTCATATTATTGTCGTTGTTGTTGATGTAAAAGTTTAATCGGAACACAATTTTGCTCAAATATAACAGTTACAGCTACATATACAAGATACAAGATACAGTCAATCCAGAATCCAGGCAACCAAACCACACCAAGACAAACCACGCCACGCCACGCCACGCCTTCAGGAATCGAGCACCCGAAAAGAGCTCAAAAGTGCCCCCAAATGTTAACTATAATCGTGAATGATTATTATTTAATACTCATAATTATTACGAAATTGTGTAAGGAATCGAAGCCAATTGTTTTTAGCAATTATATACATACAAACATACGTTAATTATAACTGAAATTGCATAGTCAAATGTTTTAAAGTGGATCCACGCAATGGCACACCTTTGCGAAGAAGAGAAACCCAGATACTTAAGGCAATTAGTTTATAGACTTCACCAACAACAAATTGAGATTCACTTGGCTAAGGAAAAACCATTTAATTGTAAGCTCATCTAGCCACTATATCCAAAAGGTTTTTCGTTTTAGACTCAACTGTGCATTTTGGATTGGATTTTTGTTAGGGTTGAACTGATTGCGAGTCGAGTCAAAAAACAAATTAAAGTATTAGTATTTTTTAAACGTTTATGTGTTGTTCGTAATTAGTAATTCGAAGTGTTGTAGAGTCGCCCGCAATGAACCAACGAGGAAACTGTTGTATGTATTAACGTGGCCGGCGATCGTGTGGCCCAGTCTCTACCCCTTTGTTGGGGCCTTCAGATCTGAGCTGCGTATATATTGTATTGTACTTTGTTGTGTAGCCACATCCAATAATTGATTTGTGATAGTTTTTAAAAATGTTTGACAACCAACTGCGTACACATACCCCTACTTTTACCCACCCGCCCACACACAGAGAGGCAATGGGTGTAGCTGGGATGTATTTAGAACACACAAAACTGAACACGAAATAAATAGTTGAAAGAAAAGAAACACCGGAATAGTTGATTGAATTATTTTAGGCACTTCGACAACGTTCCTTAGTTGGCTATGAGTTTATTGGGCGATGACAAGCCGTGTGGCAACTGGGAAATTCATCAGTAATACAACATCAACCATTCAAATTACATCTCCCCTTCAAAAAATTATTTTAAAATTCTAAAAGGATCGAAAAATTAATATCAAAGTCCAAATTGGAAATTATTTTCTTTATATTTCGTGGACAGGATATACCGATTTTGGCCAGATATAGTGCGCGATTCAATAACCAATCGAGGCAGGGCCGTCGGGTGATCACGAACTTATAAGATAACGAAATCGGAAGAGAATTTGCGACGCTCGTGCGTAAAATAATTATTTTGGTGTTCCAACTACTTTTGTTATTTGTTTGTCTTTTGTTTTGTGATAAACCAATTCGTGTTGAAAATTACATCAACTATTTTTTGGAAATTCAATTTGTGCACTTTGATCGTAAAATCGTTCAAATTTTAATGCGTGACGTTTGGGTCAATCCGCAAAGACTTTAAAAACAGAATTTCTCTACCGTTGAAGCGGTGTTATTCGACTAACGGAAACGAGCATTCAAAATGAATACATTTGGTAAGTGAAAAGCGATTGTCTTTCTCCATTATTTCACTACAAAATCATATATTTAAACATTCTGCATATATGGATGGATTCATTCCTTTTTGAGTTACAAGACACACTTAAGATTCTATACACTAAACTATGGAAAAATGATAAGATACTTTTGTAAAAATGCTCTGCTTTCTGCTCTCAAGGCACTTAAGATTAAGGTACATAAAACAAAAACAGACTTTGTTCTTGGACGGACATTCGATATAGTCGCTGGTATTACAAGTATTCGAGCTTAAACAGATACAGATTCTTGTCTTTTTTTTTTGTAAGGCACAATTTACACTTTGTATTGTTATACAAATTGATGGGAGGGAATGGGAAAATTCGAGGGACAGTAATAAGACACCCAGAAACAAAACCAAAAGCGGACATTGCCAGCCGCCACTCGTCTCGGAGGCAGCCTCCAGTCGCTGTGGCACATTTGGAAATGGAGGAGTTGCCCAAATGCTGCGACAGTCACTGCCCACCGATCAGAGCAGCTACCGCTACCGCTACTGCTGCTGCTGCTGGCCTGAAATGACTATGAAAAATGTGTGAAAATTATTTTTTGTGCCCATGCCCATGTCCAGCGCTACCTATGGCTATACAGTTTTTAATGAAAAAAGCTGGAGATTTCTTTTTTGCCCTGGCAGGAGACCAAGTGGCTGATAAACTGGTTCCTTGCGGCGCATAGAAAAAGTTCTCAGGGTACAGATAATAAAATTCAAGCGCATATGATAATCAAGGCGCAAAAAACAAAAAACGCTGCGGCAGCGGCATATATTTAATTCAGGCAAAGAGAAAAAAACAGCCAGCAGACCATCGGACGCAATGTCGACGATTTAATATAAGAAAAACACGACGGCAGGCGTTGGATATTTTGTGTGCCATCCGTTGGACCAGGCAGAGCCAAGGAAAAAAGGTGTGCGTGCGGCACAAACAACCCTCAGGCTGGACCTGGACCTCCCCGATGGGGTGTAGGTACGGGGCCTAACTGGGTTTGGATGTTAACAGGTTTGCGATCGGCGCTCTGAGCGAGCGAGCGCACACACGCACACAGCTGGGCGACTTCACGGACATTAGCGAAGAGGCCACAGAAGAGCAGAAATGGCAAAGGCAGCGACGACGACAACGACAAACTCGGAGGACGACGCTTCCGTAATCTGAGCGCAGTAGGCGCGGCTGTTTGCGCTTTTCTGCTGCTGCTGCTGCTGCTGTTGCTGCCTCTGCTACTGCTGCTGCTGCCGCTTTTGATAGAAATGACAAATAACCAGATTCATTGTAATAGATTATGTCTACAACTTAATCGCCTTGCAGATAAATGATGACAATGTTCAAAAGGAGCAGAAGAGCAAACGGATTGCGGAGAACTGGGCTGGCAGTTCATTTTGTTTTTGGGTGTCAATTTTGTGTCTTTGAGATTGCTGTTTGCATTGTAGTTTGTGTCTTTTGTGGAGAGATTTGATGTGAGAGATTCTTTTCGCTTGAACGAAAGTTGGCTGAAAGTTAGTTATTTGGCGTGCGGATCCCTATCTAAATCTATAAAGCATGGTGAGCGTTAGGCCAATGAGCGCAATGACCAGACCCAGGGCCGAGTGCAGGCCCGAGGCGCCAGCCAATCTACACTTGAACATATCGTAGCGCGTCTCCTTGTCAGCCACAATATTCTGATATTCGGCCTCCACCAGCTGTCCATCGTAGTAGGTGATCAGATCCTCAAACGGATACTCGTAGCCCTGCAGGCATTCGCACTTGTAGCCGCCTGTCTCATAGCCACGACCCATTATCGGAACGCACTGGAAATAAGAGCCATTAGTGGGGGTTATACAATGTCAGAAATTGCTCTCACATATGATGACTTCTCGTCGCACTTGTGCGTGCCCTTGTAGGCATTGGGCTCATAGTACCAGTCCGGGCACTGATTGATGTCCAGCTGCAGCATGTCCATGGACACGGCCACCACACCCCTGCGAAGAGCAAACAAATTAGTCAGTTTAATTGCCAAACATTTGCATCACAATGCCCCGTGCTCATGGGAGTCACAAGTCAAAAGTTAGGCCATGTCAACACTCGAAAATTAGACAATCAAATCATAGAAACTACAACAAAGCATTTGCATGAGAATAGGAGTTTGAATAGGATTCCGAATGGGAATGGGACTGAGCCCTAAAAGGGGTTACGGCCCGCGACAGCGGCACGCAAGCGGACCGGCCCAACAAGTACGAATAACAACCCCCCAACCCAACCCAACCCAAATGGGTTCCCTTTTTGCGGCGGTACTCACTTGAATTCCAGTTTCACTTTGAGGCTATCCCAGCCAAAGAAGGGCACCGCATAGGTCACCAGCCACTTCTTCACATAGCCGTTGCAGTCGAACTGAGGCTGGGTCCAGTAGCCATGCTTGATGCTTGCCGCCCTATACGAGTTGGGGTAGTGCTCGTACTTCTGCTGGTATTCACCTGTCTCGTTGTGCCGCAACTTGATCTTCATGTAGAAGGTTTCGAGATCGTCAAAGTTGGTGTTCCAGCGCTGCTTGAGGAACTTAAAGTACTTCCTCTCGGTGTACAGATCGTGCGTTTTGTTGAGGCGCGCCAGATCCTCCACCTTGAACTTGCGTGTGTTCAGCTCCGTTTTGTAGGCATAGGGTGCAAAGTAGGTGCGATTGGTGAACTTATTGCGCTCCCAGAGCGTTGATGCCGACCAGACCTTGCTGTCGCCCATCATAATGGCCAGAGTCTCGCCGATCATTTGATCCTCGGTCAGCGGCTTGTCCGCCACACGCTTGCCCGAGTAGACCTCATTGGGATCCGATACCTGCCGAAGAGAAAGCGAATGGCCAATGTGCATGGTAAGTAAGCGTTTGGGGAGCACAGGCGCAGAGGTCTTTGGGAAATCTTTTCCCCCACAACCGAAGAGGATTTTTGCATTTGAATGCTAAGAACTTGTGCAAATATAGACACAGGGAGAGAGAGATCCAGAGATACAGGGAAACTCTGCCTCTTTCTTGTCTTCTGCGGCTGCTGTGTGCTTGCTGCTTGCTGCTTGCTGTTGGACCTTTAATGAAGACGACGCCTTGTGGCGAACCCGTTTTTCGTGTCCTTTGCGCTCAAACTAATGAATTTAGCATTTGGTAATGGTTTGACACTGAATATTTAATTCACGCCGCGCGGCTCGCAACTCCACACACACATGGAGAATTTCGAGGCTGAAACTGGCATTGCAGGAAAGCAGGAAATTCGAGGAAGTTGAAATACGCGTGGAAAATTATAATTTACACTTGAGAAGTTTTCAAGAGCCGTCGTCGAAGGCTCTTAATAGGTGTCGGGTTATCAATTATTGCTCTTCATTTAGCGTGAAGGCGAAATGATGCTGGGAAGAATCTGTATCAACGCTCCATGTAGACTGCAGGGATCTGCTGCTCTGCTGCTCTGCTGCTTACCTGCAGGAAGGCGCTTATAAAGTTGGCCAGTCGCACGGCCATCTTGGCTTCGTTCTCGAACTGCTCCTTGGCGCCAAAGCTGACATCGCCACGCAGTATGAGATCCTGCGGATGGAAGCTGCCAAGAAAGGGAAAGTCATCAGTTAGGGGGCACCCCTCCCACTTGGCTGTCACTCACTTTTTGCACGTGCGATAGTTGACGCCATGAATGAACTTCAATACTTGATCGATGTTTATGTGCTCCGAGTGCAGAGCCCTCGAGCCTGTCGTGTAGTTCCGGTACTCGGAGTGCATGTCCAAATACTTTTGTCGCACATGGTAGGGCGCCTTATCCCACTGAATTGGCAGCTTTTGTATCCCTGCAAGAGAACGATTATCAATGGGGAAGCTTGACCTGACGGATGGAGTCACTTACAGCCAATGCTGAGACAGTCATACTCGTTGTAGTATTGTTCTGCCGAGGCCCGCTCCACAATCTCTCCGAGGTAGGGTCGGCGCACGACGTTGGGCAGTCGATAGCCCGGCTTACAGCGACATTGGTAGCCGCCCCGCCTAAAGCCCCAGCCATGCAAGGGCTCACACTCTGTCGTCTCCTTTTTACACCTCGCTGTGTCCGCAAAGTGATTCGGCCCCTTGTTGCCTTCGCCAAGCGGACACTGATTTATGTCTATGCGCTCAAAGTCCATTTCCAGCACGGACACTGCGGTGTATCTGTGAAAGACCAGACAGATTAGGTCGAACCTCAGAGCATTCTTGGGATGACTCACTTGGGATATTCGATGTGCCGGAACTGGGTGTGCCTGGGGTAGATATCTGCAATGGGCACAACGGCTGCCACCAGCCACTTGTTCGAGCGGCCACAGTCGAAGTAGGGACGCGTGAACTTAATCGGTCCGGGATTCTCTTCGGAGCCAGGCGGGCCGTGGAA